AAGGGCCTTAAAGGGGCCGCGGCGCGCTTGCTGGCCATTTTCCCCGGGGAGCGGCCCTGGAAATGGCGCGGGCGCAACGCCGCTGGGGGCCTGTGCGCGCTTCAGCTCTGCGCGGAGCCGAGGGCGAGGCCTGGCCGCGTCTAGGTGTGGCTTCTCCAGCCCTACCTGGGCCTCGGTAGCTAGCGGCCCTGGGCAGCGGCTGGATGGGTTGTCTGGCGGCCCCCGTGCGCCTCTGCTAGTCTGCTGCTTTGCTGAGTTTCTAGTTTCTGGGTCACCAGATAGAAGGGTCGGAGACCCCACTTTCGGCCTCGCCACACTCACGTGCAGGAAGCGACCCTCGGGGAAACCACCTTTGCTCTTGGCGGGGTCTAACCTGCTGCTTCATGCCCCCCTGGAGGAGGGTTCGGGGACCTGGAACTAAATGTCTGTTTATTGCCGGGCTTGTTGCGGCCTCTTACGCACCAGGGCTCCAGGTGAGCCCCCAGAGAGTCCTTACCCTCTGCTTACCTGGCAGTCAGAAATCTAACTAGACACCTGGCAAGGAAAGTCAGACACGCCCTGGGTCATACGTAGCCCAACTGTCAACGGAAGCATGGGTGTTATAACTAAACCCACCACCTTGGCACTGGTCTCTGGAGAGCCGTCTGGTCTAAATATGGCGTTCTGACCAAAGTTTGCAAATAGCTCTATGATTTCATTCGCACGCAGCGTTACATGTGGGCAGGTATGTGGCTGGGCTCTGGGGCACCTGGGGCCAATTCAAGGCCTTCTGGGAACTGTAGTACTCTGGTTTTGAAACGATTCCAGAGGTTTCTGGGACTTGTAGTCTTGCCGGAACGCTTCGCCCAAACATAGCGCTTTTTTTAAACGTGCCCTCTCGCCCCTCAGTGTGGACCTGGTCCCTGGTCCAAAGACACACAAGCTCCAGCCCAGAATTCACTGTGTGTATTAAGACCTGCCTGAGGACCAAAGTCCTCAAACAGGTGCTCATGTCTATCACACACTTGCCAAGCAACTGTACACGTGTGCAAGAATCCTCCGCCAGGGGTTCCACTTACAAGACACTGTCCTAGGCCAGAGGAGCCCTGCAACACCCCCTCCCCCAAAATTAGCCCCCTGCAGCCACTGGACCTGCATGAACTGTGACACCTGGGGACAATGAGCAGCAGGGGAGGCTGTCTCGGGTGGGATGCTTATAGAATTGTGCGGCGGGGACAGGCCACCATACACGCAGGTACCAGAGTATGAAGGAAAATCAAGTTTTTTGTGCTTTTTTTTATTTTGTGGAAAATAAAAGAAAAACTAAAACCCCCCAACTCCAGAAAAAATCCTAAAAAATACGTTTTGTTTTCTTAAAAAATACTGTATAAGTCTCCACTGCTCTCCAACAGCTTTTCGGTGCCCTTTCTTCTAGGGTGCCCTCCCCCACCCCTTTCCCAGTGTCTACCCAGGATGCTCACTCTCTTACCTGGGACCTTACGTTGACCTTAGCATTTGTACCCAGTCCCCTTCCCCCAGCATGCAAGAGCTGTCTCTCCCTTCCTCTTGTCTAGGAGCCAACCATCGTTCCCTCTACCACTCCCTCACCCAAGGATCTATTCTAAGGAGGAGCATGTCTACGGCCCCTTACCAATTTCCCTCCCTAGCCCCACCCACCCTACTTCATGAAACGCCAGACCACCTCCGGGGCGGCCTTCGCCCAGGAAAAAGAAAAGCATTTGCCAGTCTTTTTTTTTTCTTCTATTCATTCTATCTATCGGACCCTTACCCTCCCTCCACTTGTCCATGCACCTCTAAGGGAAGAAAAGCAAGCTTGCTCCGTGGCCCTATCTTGTCTTGGTCTTCCCAAAGAGCCCCTCCATCTCTTGTCCTTCAGCTGGGAAGAAGCTGGATCTTCTCCTCAAGGGACCTCCGCCCCCTCCCTCAGAAAGTGTCCGCTCAAGTTCCCCAAGGTACCTTTCTGCTCCAGGCTCCCCACCCCCCCTAGTCTCCCAGGCAACAGGAAGCGTCTTCCCACCCAGCCCAGGAATCCCAGCCTTTGCGCCTGCCTCGCTGGCCACTGGCGCTAGCTAGCGGATGAGGACGTTGATTTCGGCCACGCTGGCCTCCAGCACATTCTCGGCTGTGGTTTTACCATGTTGCTCCTTGAGGTGTCTCCTGATGGCCGGCTTGTGGGCGAAGCGCACGTCGCAGTAGGAGCAGCGGTATGGCCGCGCGCCGGAATGCAGGTTGAGGTGGTCGTGCAGCGTGGACTTCTGCGTGAAGCACTTGCCGCAGATGCCACAGGAGTGCGACTTGACGCCGCGGTGCACGTTCATGTGGCGGTTGAGGTTGCTGCTGTGGTTGAACTGCTTGCCGCAGCGCGGGCACATGAAGATGAAGTGCTGAGCCCGCATGTGGAAGACCAGCTTCTCCACGCCCTGGAACACTTCGGAGCACTTGGTGCACTTGATGTTCTTCAGCGGGTTCCCACCGGAGAAGCCCCCGGGCAGGGGGCCCCGGCTGCCCCCTGCACCCAGGCTGCCCCCCGCCCCCCGGGCAGCCATGGCCACCGCTGCTGCCTCCACTAGGCCAGAGGTGGCCCCCACACTTGCCCGGCCACCGGGGATCAACAGCAGACCCTCCCCTTCTGCGTCCTCGGACAGGCTGTAGCAGGCCTTCACCACACCCTGCGGAGGGGCCACAGGGCTGGGGGGCACGCTACTCTGGGCCAGTTCTCCGAGGTGGCTGCCCACAGAGGCCCCAAGGCCTAAGCCCCCACCTAGGCCTCCAGGGGGTTTGAGCCGGTGGGCCACCTCCAGGGCCGACTCCACCTTGACGATGCAGATGTCAGATACATCCTCGTCCTCATCCTCATCTTCCTCCTCGGCCTTCAGCTCCAGGTCCTCATCCAGAGGAAACTCTAGCTTCACAGGCCTAAGAAGTGGAGGGGGTAGAGGAGGTGGGGGAGGGGGCTTGGGGGCCGGTTTGGGGGTCCTGGCAGGAGGGAGGAGGGACTTGGTGGCGCTGACCCCGCTGACAAGGCTGGCCTCACTGACCCCATCTTCTTTGAGGCCAATTTTGGGCTCGATGAACTGGCTGAGGGCATTCCGGCATTTCTCCACCACATGTTCCATCTGCAGGTAGGAGGCGGCAGTCAGATAGTTCACGATGTCCCTGACGGCGAATTCCAGGGCGCCGGTGTAGCAGGAGAGGAGCAGGTCGGCCACTATGCGCGCACTGTGCATCAGCGAGACCTGCAGCTCGGAGCTGGGGTTCAGCAGGAACTGGTCTCGCAGGAATGGAGAGCAGGCGGCCAGGATGACCTTGTGGCCACGGAACTTGAGGCTGTCCGCCACAATGGTCACATCGCAAAATCGCTCCTCTGCGCGGAGCTGGTTCATGTTGCGAAGCGTAGCAGCCTCGTGGCCAGGCAACTGGAAGCGCAGGACCTCCACCCCAGAAGCCATTGTGGTGGGGGTGGGCGACCCTGGTTGGGAAGGAAACGGGTCAGAGACAAAGGTCTCTGGCTCTCCAAAGCGCTAGGTCTCTAGCTCCCATTCTTGCCCGGCCTCCCCCAGAAGTCTTCCAGACTCGTCCTCAGTTTCCCTGGGCTGCCCCAGTACCAGGGGAGGCGCTCTGCCTTGGAGAGGGAGGCGTGGTTCCCGGGGGCGGGGCAGCGGCGTCCACACCCCCCACCCCTGCCAGGCAGACAGCGAGGTTGCAGGAGGCCCCAGTACCCACGGCCGAGGGACCGGAGGAGGGGGTCCGAGGCCTGGGGCTCGGAGGCTGAGGCTGCCGGGATTGCATGCTCTTCCCACCCCGCCCCCCGTAACCCGCAGCC